GGGGGGGCCCCCTGAGATACCCCTAGGGGGCCCCCCAGGGGGCCCCTCGGGTTCGATCCGTCAAAAGCCATGGAAGGCAATCTGAAAGAATGGAAGTCGGAATATTTGAGTGAGCTGCAGCAAAAATGGGGATCTGCTGCTGCTGCTGCTGCTGCTGCTGCTGAGGCAGCTGAGACTGCTGCGGCTGCTTTCGCTGCCGCTGCTGCTGCTGCTGCTGCTGCCTCCCTTGAGTTGCTCGAAGATATAAAACAAAATGAATTCCGAAAAGAATTCAAAAGAGAAAAAAATTTGGCAAGTGGAAAAGAGACAATTTAGAAAACCCTAAACCCTAATGCAGCAGCGCAGCAGCCCCGCACCCGCCAGGGTGGGGCCCCCCGCCTGAAACCCCAAACCCTAAACCCTAAACCCTGAACCCTAAACCCTAAACCCTACTTCTTTGCTGCCTTTCACTAGGGTTTCCAGTTCGGCGAAAAAAGCGCAAAAAAAGATTCAGATTTTCCCGAGTTGCTTCTGAACCCGTTGAGGTGTATGTACACCTCAGCAGCAGCAAGGGTTTCATTGAAAAACCCGAAAACAATAAATCAAATCTTTTATTTCTTGCATATCTCCACAAAATAAACCCTAGGCATTCTGTCTTTTCCCCAAACCCTAAACCCTAAACCCTAAACCCCAAACGCGCGCTGAACTCCATCAACAAACGCGAGATCTCAGCCGCACGCGACGTTTTCCGTCGAGGGTTTAGGGTTTACGGTTTAGAGTTTCGGGCGGATGGCCCGGAACGAGGGTTTGGGGTTTAGGGTTTACAAGCAGCCTGTGTCGCACTTCGCTTCCAGCAACTTGAACAAGTGCTGCTGCTTTCTGTTTGGCTTTTTCACTTTGCTGCTTTTTTGCCAAGGGTTTAGGGTTTAGGGTTTAGGGTTTAGGCTTTGGGGCTCGGGATTTAGGGTTTTGAGCGGAGGCTTAGGGTCCAGGCTTGAGCGTTTAGTGCGTAGGGCTTAGGGTTTAGGGTTTGGCATTAAGATTTTAGGGTTTAGGGTTTAGGGTTTGTGCGGGTTTAAGATGGGCGTGAACGTAATTGCAGCAACACAGATAAGTGTGCAGTTGTCTAGTGTCTTTTCTTTCCTAATTAGGGTATACGGTTTAGGGTTTAGGGTTTAGACTAAATTTAAACCTGCAAACAAAGAAAAAGACCCGTAAATGTAAATGCCCTGAAGGGTTGAAACAAAGGGTTTCGTGCAAACCCTAAAATGATAACTTTGCACGAAACAAAACCCTAAACCCTAAACCCTGGCGAGGGTTTAACGAGAAGCAGCAGCAGCTGAGTGCGTCTGCGCCATGCTATCTACTCCGATTAAATTGCATTTCTATTTTATTATTTATAATTTAATTATTTATTTATTATTCATTTCTTATTTATTTACTTTCCACCTATTTTGTCTATTTGCTTATTTTGAAGTTGGGCTGCGCAGACAGCTGCCCAGGGTGTACGTACACCGCGTGCATGCAGCAAAATATACATAATGCGTATTTCAAAAGGAATATATAATTTATATTTGATATTATACTTCCAAAACATATATATATAACAGTTTTAATGTTTAAATGAAATAAATACAGTAGGTTTAATAGACACCTGAAGAGCCATTGGGGTGTATGTACACAAACTGCTGCTACGAAACTTTTTGCAAATTTTTGAATTTTTGAATTTTTTGAAAAACTTAATTTGGATTTTAAAGTATAATTAAAAATATAGATAGACACAATAAATGAGATACGCAAAGTGTGTTTAATGGGTTTATTGCAATATGTTCGATTCTATGTAGTGCACTTTCAACAAAATTAAATCATATTGGATATTGGAATGTACATGATGCAAAAAAATATGAAGTATAACAGTATTTATATTCTTTTTTCACTTTATTTATTGCAGGAAATTCAACAAGAAGCCCCAAAAGTTCTTCAAAAATCCCTGCATGGCGCAAAAGAGAATTTTGCGCAAATTTGTCAACTTGGGCGGTTGTGGTGTACGTACACCCCAGAGGTGTACTTCCATTTCAAGTTCATCAAAATGAACACAAGAATGCAATTTAAACGTTTTTTCGGTTTAAATGAATTAATTTACGTTTTAATCAATTAATTTATTTATTTTTAATGCATTTTGCATATTTATATCCATCAATTTGGGGGAAAATTCATTTTCATGCAATTTCGAGAAAAGTGGAGGGGGTTTGTAGCCAAGAGCATTTAAGAAAAAAGAAATCTTGTTGAATTCAAATTCAAATAATAAAAATATATTTAAAATCAAGAAATGTTTGAGGCATAAAATGAGAAAAAAATTAAATTTAAAAGATTTAAACAACTTTAATTCAAATTATAAAAATATTTTTCAAAGAGTCGAAGATCTTGTTTAAATATTTATTTTAATATTTCGGTTTCCGCAGAAACGGCTCGCGAGCTCACCTGCACTAACCGCAGCTAAACCCTAAACCCTAAACCCTAAACCCCAAAAGCTAAACCTGAGAAGCGCTTCCCAGAGTCATTTGCCTTTTCGCGTCTGGCTCTGACAAACGGACCCCGAGCCTGCTTTAGGGTTTAGGGTTTAGGGTTTAGGGTTTACGGATTAGGGCTTGAGCGCTTCGGGTTTGCGTTTCAGCGTTTGTGTGTTCTGGGCCTATGGCTTCGGGTTTGGGGGTTTAGGGTTTAGGGTTTAGGGTT